ATACCTGGCTGGCAGTATACTCACAGAGAAGGGGCTGGCCCAGTGTGGGGTGTAGACAGTGCACAGTATTTTTCAGTTATTGTGACGATTCTTTGAAGCTGGGGTTTCTTGGGATGATGTCTTAGTTTATATTGTTCTTTCCCTTTGCCAGGATTGACGTGTCTCAGAATGATCTTCCTTGGGAATTTATGGTTGACCGTCTTCCTACTGTCTTGTTTTTTCCCTGCAACAGGTAATGCTATATTATTTTCAATTTTAGGCAGATAATATTTTTTTGTTGAGGTCTAGAGATAAAATGAGTTTAAGATGTGAATCATTTGTTATAATAAAAATGTTCAAAAAGTGTGCCCTTAGGGACATAGGGTAGAAGGGTGCTTTTGTGTCAGGATGTGATGGGAGGTGTGGATTGTTTTAAAGACATCTGCTCTTCTCAGAGTCTTTTTCTCACATAGGCATGAGTGTGGCCATCAGAATTTGGTAGCTTTCATGGCCTATATGAACATACGAAATAAGCAGCGATTGACAAGAAGAGTCCCCTGTCTGTGTGGGGCAAAACAGCAGCGGGTCTGTAAAGCCCTGCCTGACCCGAGCCGTCCTGGGCTCAACCCCGTCCTTGCTTGGATTCAGGGAGCTCTGCTGTGGTGTCTTCTGGCCATGTGCTGTGAGTGTCTGCCATGTGGTTGGCACTTGATCTTTTCGCATTTGCCTAACTAGTATTCCAAACTGAGTTATTTCAACTACCTTGAAGGACCTTAGGAAAGGGGGAACAGACTTCACAGTTAAAGTCTGCGAAAAGCAGTGGATGCCATTGTTTTAGTATAAAAGGAGATTAACTCTTGGCCCTTAACAGCCTGATAAACTGGATGTTTGCTCCTTTTTGCAGATTGCTGTAGAAGGTTGAGTCCTCCTGAGGACACAGTCATGTGGTTTTGACAATATCCTCTCTGCAGGGAAGTGTTTGCAGGCTTATTTAGGGAGGTCCCTGACTCAGATGTGTGACATTGACTATTTTCATTTCCTGCCTTTCTGTTGCTGATTTTGTATGGCCACTGCTCTACTTGTCATGTTTCTCTAGGAGACTAATACCTTCATATCTGTGAAATCATTTCCTTGGTTTTTGCTTTTTATCTCAAATAATTTTTGCTGGAATACTCCTTGTAGGGTCTTGTCAAGTCCTGCACTAAAAACAGAATATGACTCACCCTATTCTGTTGCTGAGTCGTGATGAGCCTTTTTCTTTCTAAGAAGTGTTTAAATTGCCATGTAGTCAAGGAATCATGGACAGTAACACTAGCAATTTCATCTCTGCAGGACAGAAGTTGGGTATGTAGTTTAATGAAGTATAATTTTTGAAGTCCAAACACAGCTTGGAAAAATATTAAAGTTAGAGCACCTAGAAAATGTGTTTGCATGAATGGAATAATGAGAAACCCACAAAGAAAGGTGGCAGGTAGTAGCTTGTGTTTACAGGCTTGTGTCTGAGTTGAGTGACTTTCGTTCAAAGCTGCCTGTTGTAGTAAACATGGAGATGAGTCCATTCTCCAGACGTGTGCTGGGCAGTTGCTGCAGCCTCTTACTATTCTCCTTGAACAGGAGAGGTGAGGAATGTAAATATTGAATATGAGGAGCCTGTCCAGTTTGATCTTAATTGAAAGAGCTTGGTAAACCAAAGCCTTATGGCTTTAGAATGGAATTTTTCTCATTTCCTAAAAATAAATGGTAGTCAGAAGTGAAATAACCTCATCATTAGCTGGTCTACAGTGAGGGAGTGGTTTAGCCAGAAGGTAAATGGGCAAATGATGTGAACTGACAGCTTGCAAAGAGGAAATGAAAAAGGGTATTTTTTGATAACATGTAATAAGACCTTTTTCACGGTTCACCTGCTTATGCTATTTTAGTGTGTATGCACTGTGATAAAACAGAAACTTGTGCATGTGCTAGCTGAAAATGTGGGCAGCAGGGAAGATGTCAGTGTTGACAGTGATTACTTCAGAGGAGCGAGGACTGCAGGTGATTTGGAGATGCTTCTTGTATATCTTGTATGTCCCTTGTAAATAAATGGTTTACAAAGAACAATTCTAATTTCTAAAAATCATGGAGAAAAAGCAGAGCCTGTCCTCGCTCTGGCTGGAGGTAGGAGGCAGGGCTACAGCCTGAAGGGAGATATAACCTTGCTGTGCAAGGGCATCTCAGGGCCAGTCCTCCCAGTCAGTGCAGACTTTTCGTGACGTGCTCTGGCGCAGACTGTGTGTGACGTGCTCTGGCCTGTTACTGGGCCAGGGAATGAGGGGGTCTGGAGGCCCATGTTCTACATAGAGATTCTGATGTGTCCCAGGGGAAGAACCACACTTCTTCAGAGACGTTCCCCACCCCTCTCTCAAGATTAGAGGGAAGCACATAAACAGTGGGACCTTTTACCACCATACTTTAAAATTAACTGCTTTTTTGGAAGTAGTTTGTTGACATTCCATGGCCTTGCTACTTTTAAAAAGCATGGAAGTGGCGGGGTGCTATGACTCATGCCTATAATCCTAGCACTCTGGGTGGCAGAGGCAGGAGGATCACTTGAGCTTAGGACTTTGAGACCAGCCTGAGCAAGAGGGAGACCCCATTTGTTAAAAAAATTAGCCTGGGATGGTGGTAGCACACCTGTAGTACCCCAGTTACTTGAGAAGCTGAGGCAGGAGGATCACTTTAGCCCAGGAGTATGAGATTGCAGTGAGCTATGGATGCTGCCACTGTACTGTAGTCCAGGCAACAGGGTCAGACTGCCTCAAAAAAAATAAAAATTTTTAAAAAGCATAGTAGCATTTTAGGGAGATTCATACCTCATATGCTGAGGTACCTTTGCAGCTCTTTCAGGGAGGATAATTCACCTTGACTTTGCCCTAGAAGACCGGGTTTGTGCTGGAGAACACAGTGGCAGATCAGCCTCTGCAGATTTTACACGCCCACTTCACTGGGCCACAGTGTGTTTTTTGTTATTACTTCAGTGGCTGAGAAGCCCCACTTAAAGAAAGCTTATGTGTTAAGAAAACTGTGTTTTAAAGTAGGAGGGGGTGGCTGAATAATTCCAAATTATTTTCAATAATTGCAAGGTTCCAAGTTCTTATTTATGTTTGCTATTACCTGGAGGTTTCCATAAACACTGTGTAAAATGGGGCATATATGACATTAATTTCCTTGTGGTTTTTATTTGATAGGGAAGAGGCTACCCATTAAGAGAACACCTTTTGTCATTTTTAGGTATTTGGCCACTGGCTTTGTGTATAGAGCTTTTAATTAGGAATTTCCTGCTTGCTTCTTAAGAACAATGCAATTTTTTTACAAAGCTAACATTCACAGAGCACACTCTTAACTCACTCCTATACAACAATCCCATGGGTTAGGTGAGACTCTTCCTTGTCCCCATTTCATAGAGGAAGCAGTTCAGAAGCACAGAGAAGTTGCTTATCTAAGAGCACATGACAGTGAGCAGAGCCCTGGGACTCTGCTATGGCAGCTGGGCTCTCAGCTTCCATTCCACTCATGGTCTGTTGGCCTATCTCGTGCATAAATGCATAAAGCTGATAGTTTTGATTACTGCAGCCAGATTGTGCATGCACAAGTTAATAGATCATGACAGAAACTTTGGTTATCAGACAATTAAATAACAAGTTCTAAAAAGGGATTTTCTAAATCAGAACCTGGAACAAAGCTGTGGAGGAAAACCTTTTCTTTGGTTACCCTCCATGTTCCGTACTCACAGTTGGGCAGCCTTGATTCAACAGAGTCCCTTGGTTGGTCTGTGTGCCAGAAGCACCTCCCCCAGGCCCAATCCAAATGTACCCTGGGGGCTACAGTTGCCCTTGGTTGAAAGAATTCCTGCCTCAGATAATGAGTAAGAAATGATTGCTAGAGAAACAGGCTGTGTGTTTCAGGTTTTTCCTGTTTCACCAGGGACTGTGGATGGGCACAGTAATAATACAGGTGACAGTCCTGCTTCAGGCCTGAGGTGGACCAGTGGCCGCAGTGCCCTATGTCACTGGCTTCACGTTTGGGGCTGGGAGCTTCTGTTTTTCTCAGAGTTGTATACAGAGACTGATGTCTGGTCTCAGGGACAGACATGCTTTTATGCTTAGCCACTTTAATTACAGAACAAGCATGTGGGACATCCGCCCTTTGTAGAGAATTTCTTGCCCAGGGAACATTTTCCTTACTGACTTTGAGTAAGTAAAATCCTTGGGGTATCTTTTCTTGGTAAGAAGTAGATGGCCTGGTCTGGTTTTAGACTAGGCACGTGGGCATGACTCTCATCTTTGATACTTTTCCTTCCTCTCCAGAAAGGACCTCAGTGTCAAGTACCCCGAAGACCTCCCCATCACCCTTCCAAACCTGCTGAGGTTCATTCTGCATCACTCAAACCCAATTCCCCCCCGGAACATGGCTGACCCTCCTACCAAAGAATGTCTGCAGAGCGAGGCAGTTCTACAGCAGGGGCACATCTCCCACTTGGAGAGAGAGATCCAGAAGCTGAGAGCAGAAATAAGCAGCCTGCAGCGAGCACAAGGGCAGGTGGAGCTCCAGCTTTCCAATGCCCGCAGGGACGAGCATCAGCTGCAGCGGCAACAGCAGGCCCTCGCAGAGCAGCATCGCCTGCTCCAGCAGCACAGCACACAGCTGCAGGCCCTGTACCAGCATAAGACCCGGGAGCTCCAGGCACTGGCCCGCAAGCTGCAGGAGCTGGCTGATGCCTCAGAAAACCTCCTTGCCGAGAACACATGGCTCAAGATCCTGGTAGCCACCTTGGAGAGGAAACTGGAGGGCAAGGAAGGAGCTGAAGACCTGCCTCCCCCGAGAAAGACACACCCTGAGCATTCCGAGCCCTCAGGCACCCCCCAGTTACCCAGCAGCTCCCCTCCACCTTCCAACATCAGCTCCACAGTGACGTCTGAAAGGAGCAACGAGAACAGGACAGACTAACTCTCAGAATGACATGAAGAAATCAGAGGTGAAAACTGTACATTGGGAATATATTTATGCAAATTTTATTGAAATTTATTGTAAATAAAGATTTTCTCAGTGGTCTAGAAAGTCAACTTGAATGTCATTCAGCATTTATTGAAGAAGGATGACATCCCTTCCATTTATTGCACAAACTTGGTAGCTTTGAAACAAAAACAGTAGCACAGTCTGTTTGAGGATTTGTCTAAAAAATTAGTCCATATTTTCGTGGCTCAGTGTCAAGAGCTCCCTCCCTACCCCCTACTGTCACTTCTGTAAGGATATGAAGAATGAAAGCTTAATTTCTGATCAGTCAGAAAACGCAACAGTTGGGCTATTCAGAAAGAATTCAAAGAGAGGTCATAACTTACTAAGCCATTTGAGTATGTGGCTCTGGTGTCTACATTTAAAAAAGTAGCTACTGATGAATAAGAACAGTGAGAGCTGTTATGTGGTTGTTCACTAGTTCTACAGGCATTTTCATTCTCCCAAACATCCCCCACCTGGCCTCTCACCCCTGCCCGTGACATTCCATTATGCCAGATTCAAACTCAAGGGATGTCCCTGGTATCCAGGAGTAGAATAAAAAAGCCTCCAAAAGTGAAACTGATAAGAAAGCGATATTTAATCATTTCAAAACCAAAATTTCACTGACAAGTTAACCATAGGGTGAGATGAGTGTGACAGTCAGGCTGGTCAGTTCCAGGGTCAGGCTGGGAGACTGAAAATGCAAATCTCAGCTGCTCTGGGGTTACTCAAGTGTGGAGCTGAAGGAGAAACGGCCTAGGCTTATGCTGCTGGCTTCCGTGAGAATAGAGGTAGAAAGCTTGGTTCTGGAACACAAGGGGGATGGATCGAACACCCCATCCTTTCCTGACACAACAGAGCAAACCTTCCTCATCTTCCAGTTGGCACCTTTGGGACTTCTGTTGTCCCTCCTGGGCCTGGCTCCAGTGGCTGGATCCCCCCTTCCTATGCAGCAATGTGTCCTGCCCACTCAGCCTGCAGGGCCTCTGCTGACAGCCCATCTGTAGCAAGGCCATTTCTTCTTGAACTTGGCCACCCTGTTAGTGGCCAATGTAGTTTCTTCTGCTTCCTAAGAGTTTCCCAGGAACCCACCTGTGGTGTCATGACTGCCCTCAGCCCAAGATGGCCTTTTGAGCTACCTCCCTCCTCAGCCCCAACTATTACCTAATGTTTGACCCCTAGTTTAGGTATATACTGTACATTTCCTATAGCTACCGCTTGGGATTCTAGAAAGTGAATTAGTTCAACATGCCTTGCTTTTTAGAGGAGGCGTGGGTGAGGCCAGAGGAACTTTGAGCTCAACTGTTAAGGGCCTGCACTGTGTGGTAGAGCTGGGACTTTCTAAGCCAGGATTGGCCTCTGGATCATTACCAAGGATGCTGACACAAATCATGTTTTAATCATAGTAGTTTAGAGTGTGGTTACAGTGGTGAGATTAAAAATCCAAGCAAGTTCACTAAAATGATACCTTGGAGATGCAGGCTACTGAGGCACTGGCTCGATGAGAGCCACCAACTCATCATCTGTTCAAGGATCAAGTCCTGAATTGGAAATTCACCCCCTGCCTCTGTACTAAGCAAAGGCTGGCAGCAAGTGGTCCAGGAGCTCCTGTGTGACTACGCACACAAGAAATGACCTACCATTGGCATTTGATGCCTCAAGACCCGTGGAGGAAAGTGAAATCCAATACCCACCAGGTGAGTAGTGATTAGGAAAGGAAGCTGACTTGTGAAAAGGGAAAGGGGGAAACCCCAGAAAACGCAACAGTCCCCTCCCCCTCCAGTGCAGAAAATATCAAACACAGAAATAAAAAGCACGTTTTCTTTCTTGGGGCAACTGGGTTTCAGACTGTTTAAAGTAACCAACATGGGCTTTGGCATTTCTGAGGACCAGAGCAAGGAACAGCCAAGCCCACGCCAAGGGGGATAGAGTGCTCAGCATGCTTAAGACAGGGCAAGAAACCACTCTGCTACTGGGACACCTGGCAGCCCTCAGGATGTGCGTCCAGACTCGTCCTTCACTGGCTCCCAGGCAGGTACAGTAGCGTCCTTGCAGTAACTCTATCAACAGGAATTGCTACTTAACCTGGAGAAAGGAGGAAGGGGTATTCTTCCATCCATTACTAACCAACTGAAATCACCCAGGTACCCTACTGGTAAGCCACTAGACTCTAAACCCACATCTCACCCCTTCACAGACAGACACACAGCTACACATCAGAGACCCCAGCTGAACACAACATGGGCCTTGCACATCTAGGACCCTCCATGGTCTTGACTCAGCTTGCCATCAGTACAGGTGTAATCAAACCAGTCCTGTGTGCACTATATGATGGTTTTAAAAATCAGCAAAAGGGCTTAAGCACGTGCTTCTGGGGGCCTATTTACAGTTCACAGGTATGTTAGTTCACGCATTACAGTAGTCGCTCCATCAAGAACAGGCTCAGCTAAACATTCAAGTAACAAAAGCGCTATGGGGCCATGAGCCCCGGCAAGGGCAGGCCTGCCCACTGCCTGCAATGGGCAGCCCCACCAAGAGGCCAGGGGGAAGCTCTGGACAGCTAGGCCCCCGGGAGTCCATGCATGCGGTGATGAAGCCCGCTGAGGCCATGCCAGCAAATGTCAACCCCTCCTCCCAGACAGCAGCATGTCTGTGTGGTCTTGTGCCTCCCAGCGCCTCTCCGCTGGCTGCGAACAGGACCTGGAGCCTTGCATCCTTGTTCAGCCGTGGACTTCCAGACCGTTGGGAGTCATCAACTTGGCCTTCCTCTCCACACAAGGTCCCCTGGCCGAGTACTGCACCAGCAGGAAGGGCTCCTTGGTCTCGCCATCCCCCACGATGCTCTCTTCGTCCTCTGATTGGCTGATGCGCTGCAGCCGCAGGTAGCACCAGCAGCCCAGAATCAAGGCCCCCAGGGCGGCGATGGCGATGAGGATGACAATGACCGTGACCACACCCGTGGTGGGGCTGTGGTCCATAATAGACATGGTCAGTGCTGAGCAGGGGGCTTCCTCAGCAGGAAGCACGTGGGGATGGCTGGCTCAATGAGGCTGAATTCAGGCAGGACACGAGAGTCCTAAAAGAAAGCACACAGAGGTCAACCAGGGACTCTGCTGGAGACCCTGACGTTTCCTAACATCAGGCTGGCACTACCACGGGGCCTATTTTTAATAATGCTTAAGTCTGCCCATCCTGCCTTCGTCCTGGTGAAGAGCAGGCCATTTCTCATTATCAGGCAGGCAAGTCACCTTACTTGGCTGTGGAGCCCAAGGCCCTGGCAGGGGGTTAAGAGGGGTGGGAAGAGACGCAGCAGATGGGACGTGGTGACAGCCAAGGCAGAGGCTACCAGAGGGATGGATACTTTTCTGGCTCTTCTGTTTAGGGTGTACCTTCTGGCAGCCTAGCACTACCCAGTGTTTGGTAACCACTTGGGGACTTTAAAGAGACAGTGCCTTCATAATGAGGGACATGAAAGCAGGGAAATAACATCAGCCTCTGCCTAGAACAGGTGGCATATACAGAACACCTAAGTCCTTCTAGGACTATTGTGAGAAGGTGCAGCAGACAACAGCCTTTACCACAAGGGCACTGAAGCTGGCCTGGGAAGACCCCTTGAATTAAACACACCACCCACTGGGGAGCTGGGTGGCAGAGTTCCTTGCGTGGCTCAGACAGAGGCCACTCAAACAAGTGAAAAGGAAAAGTGTCTGGGAAGGTGGAGGCCCTCAGGGTAGTATGGGAGAGTGGGCAGACCACAGCGTCCAAGACAGGACCTAGACTGCAAACATGTCACGAACATAAGGAAGCAGGTGCCAGCCAGGATGCTAACCGAGCAGGCAGATGAGAGGCAGGGAGCAATACCCAAGGGGAGTGTTGCTGGTAAGACATGGCCACTGCTAAGGGTGCTCAGAACTCTGAGGACAAGACCACCACCTCTCAGCCATAACCTCAGGCACAACCCTCCACCTGGTTGAGCCTTAGGATCCTCACCTGTGGACAGGGCAGCCAGGGTGCGCACAATGGCTGAAAGTCCCAGGCACCTCTCAAGCCTCAAGGGCCTACTCCAGGTGACTCCCCCAAGGCCAGCCAGCGGCCACCCACTTGACTGCTGGTTTCATGAGGTGCAGAAGCTGGCAGGCTCACCTGGCACCCCTAGACCCTGCACTTCTCTACTTCCCCTTTATTGCCATAAAAGGCGCAGTGAGTAACTCAAACCCCGGGGGTAAGGATGAGGACGAGCCATGTGTGTAGTCTGCACTCGTAACAACTAGATGTCTGAATTCCCTTGTTGTTTTTTATTTTATTTCTGAGACAGAGTCTCTTTGTGGCCCTCAGGAGAGTGCCATAGCATCACTACTCACAGCAACCTCAAACTCTTGGGCTCAAGTGATTCTCTTGCCTCAGCCTCCGGAGTAGCTGGGACTACAGGCGCCCGCCACAACACCCGGCTATTTTTAGAGATGAGGTCTTACTCTTGCTCAGGTTGGTCTTGAACCTGTGAGCTCAGGCAATCCACCTGCCTTAGCCTCCCAGAGTGCTGGGATTACAGGCGTGAGCTGCTGCGGTTGGCCTCCTTTGTTGTTTTTTAATAAGACTGACAGACTGACACAGCACGAAATGGAGGTTTCCCTTCAAACAGGATGGAACCAGCTACATCCCTAGCAGTGACAGCCTTAATGAGAAATGATTCTTACCCAACTAGAGGGTCTCCTCAGAGACTGGGTTTTTTGCCTGTAGGTCAAAGGCAGCAGAATCAACCCCCAGAGTCTGTCCAGGGACCTACCAGGCCCTGGACAAACTGCAGACTTACAGGAGTCCTGGGCAAGGCGGGGGTGACACCCCTCGAACTTGATGCCTTCTTACTACCTCCAAGGTCCAGGCCACTGCCATCCCTCTCAGTGGGACTGTCTACCTTCGTGGACCACTGCAGCAAAGGTCCCTTCTCACCTGCATAGTGACTGGGTCCCCAGCCACACTGACCTCCACACACTCTCCTACCACCAGGCCTTTGCTTAGGCAGTTCCCTCTGCCCAGAATGTTCTGCCTGTTTACCCTTATTCTGGGGGAAACTATGCCCCCACTCTGGGGACATTTGGCCATGTCTGGAACCATTTTTGGTTGTCATACTGGAGTGTGCCCTGCTGGCACCCAGCAGTGGGGGGTAGGGATGCTGCTGAACATCCCATCATGCACAGGACAGCCCCAGATGTCTGGACTGTGGGGGCAGAGGAAGAAACTCTGACACAGTTGACGCCAGTCCAGCAGGCAAGGCTTCCTGACCCAGAAGTCCAGGGAGGGCTCCTTTCCTTCAGAGCACTTGCCACAGTGTGCCGTGACTTCTGGGGCACGGCCACAGTGAGCAGGCTGTTCACTCCTGTCCTTCTCATCTTTGCCAGAGTGCCTAAGGTACCCTGGCCTATGCCCTGCCACCACCAGCTTCCACAACCCAGCTCAGCTATCCTCCCAGACATCCAAATGAGATAGGGGACCCCTGTGGCCCTTGGAGAACCTGCTGTGGCTGGATGAGCCTGTCTCCACTTGTGCCAACCTCCATGTTCTCTTCCTGTAGGAGGATACCTACCTGCTCCTGTCCCTGCCTCCCTCAACCCTGGACCTCTGGTCCCCAGGGCCTGCTGGGCGCCTGTCCTCCCAGGGCTTCTGGACAGGAAGGCAGGTCAGTATCAATTCGGAAGGGGAAGTGTGTGTGTTAAGGGGTGGAGGGGAGTGTGCATGTTTAGGGGTGGAGGTGATTTGGGGGCAGGAAGTGGGGAATCAAACAATGGCACTATATGGGGCCAGGGGCCAGAGCCAACTGGGGAGCCCACGAGACACCCTTAAGTTCAGGGGAAAATCAGTGGCCCCAGGACTAATGAGGAAACAGGCACAGGCAGCCCCACATCAAAGGGACCCTCTGAGAGAAGCGGTGACCTCAAAACCTTGTCTGTTGCCCCCACCCCAGGCCAGGAGGACTGGGCAGAGCCAGGTGTGGGCCTCTCATCCCTGTGGGCACAGAGCCCAGTGACTAAGCCACAGTCAGGCTCGGCCCATGGCCCCCAGCCCTCCCCTGAGTGTGCTTATTTGTTTCTTCATTCACTCGGCAAGCATTTCCTGAGAACTTTAAAAAATTCTGACCATGTCGTTCCCTGCTCAGAACCCTCCCAGCCTCAGAGGAGACTCCAAATTCTCTGCCTCCCCTGAAAGCCTTTGTTGCTACCTGGGGCTTAGTCACCCTCTGCCCTTGACTGTCCCAAGACTGGTTTCTTCCCCTTCAGGACCTGGAAGGCACCTCTTGTAGGCTGCCCTCCCAGACCACTGTGACTCCAGATGCCCCTCCCACACGGCCTGCATCCTGGCCCCACTGCACTATTTCCCCTTTACCTCTAATTCTCTCTGGCCAGGGGCTGTGACCCCAGCTGCTATCTGGCACCCCACAGTGGGCTCCAAGGCTGTATGATGAGGGCGCTGCCTGCCCTGCACTCAGCTATGCACCAACACACAGTAGACACTCAGTAAATGCTGAGCGTTCCAAGCCCAGGGACTAGTGAAGAGTCAGAGATCACAGCGGCAGTCTCCGCCTGAGCAGCTAGCAATCCCCCAGGCCACTCCCAGGACCCCGTGCACAGGTACTCACACCTGTCCCAACAGACTTGCGGTAGCCAGCCACCTAAGTGCAGGGCAGGAACGGCAATGGGCTGGTGACTTCCAGGCAGGCCTGAGCTTGTGGAAGGACAGCTGTCTCCACACCTGCTGGGAAGTAGAAAGGCAAAGAGTTGGCCAAGAAGCAGAGCCCAGAGGAAACTCAAAGCATTGAGGGCAGATGGCCTGTGGGCCCCCTGCACACGGCTGTACCCCATTTACTGGCTGCGCCTCTCCTGGGCCTTCCAGAGGCCCCTCAGAATGCAGGTGTCTCCTGCAAGCCGGCCAAGCCCTTGCCCTGGTCCAGCAAAGCCCAGGACAGGGGCTGGATAGAAGGGCCACAGTTAGGGCTGGGTAGGTGACCAGCCTGGCATGTCAGAAACCTGGATCACCTCAGAGTATTTGTCAAAACAGCTCCCACTGACTCCAAACAAGCATTTAATCCTCACAACTTATGGCTGCTTCTGCTCACCAGGCTCATCTCCTATAGGTGAGGAAACTGAGGCACAGAGTTTAAATAGAAAAGTTAGAAAGCAAGATGGGAGCCAGGAGTGGGGGGGCCCAGCAGTGCAAAGTTCTTCTAAGAGCAGTGGGCCCAGGGACCAGATCATAAGCCGAGACCTGTGATCTGTTGGCCCTGGCATTTGAAGTCCATTGCCACCTGCATCTCCCATAGTCCCTGCTTCTCCATGTGCTTTCTATAACTCCCTCTGGCAAGGATAGCCTGGGCCTTGGATCCCACCCTGAGCACCCCTCAAAGGTCAGATAGAACATAGGATATGCCAAGTCCCCTGGAAAACAGTATGGACAAGCCCAGGTGAGCTAGACTGCCCCTGCTCCAGGCATTACGGGTATTGTTTCTCCCACTTTCCCAAGGCCCAGAGGGACCAGTAACTCCCCAAAAGTGCAGAGCTGGGTGTCAACCCCACCCCCAACAGTGCTGTTCAAAAGGACAGTCCACGTCTGAGCCACCAGTGAGCTAAGGGCAGGGGTCTCCTCCTGTCCTACTCTTCCTCCCAGGACCCCAGTTTCTGCTCTAGATCCTTCTGCCTCTCCACAGATATCCCAACTAAGCCTTACCCCACTCTACTGGCCACCCTGCAAGCTGGGGAGAGGAGCTGCAGCCAGCAACAGAGCCCCCTCCTGCCCCTGCACCCACTATTGTGTACTGTTTTCATGCAACCAAGCAAGCTGCTCCTTGTGGCCTCAGTTTGTCAGTGTGCAAAGTGGGAACTGAGTTCCTGACCTTGTCCACTGGGTGTGGAAGGA